CTGCGACGCGCTGATGAGATCCAAAAAGATCGAAATCGCGATCCGCATCTGGCAGTTTCGACAGAATACAGACCACTTCGAATTATTTTATTCGATTATGGTAACGTGCCTATCATGTTGAGGTTGGCTACGCCGGGATACGTTTTCGCAAGTAGATATCCACAGAAGTGGACCTTGTTGGAGCATACGTAATCCTAAAATATAGCATCATGCTACAGATGGCGTTTACTGCGCCATTTGTAGTATTTTCTAAAGCGCACTGTTAAGACAGCAGGTAAAAGTTGGTCTGTGTTCTGTCGGAGCTGCCTGCGACGCGCTGATGAGATCTAAAAAGATCGAAATCAGACCATTTCGAATTATTTTAACAAAGATAATTTTATGTCGTCATAATCATACTACAGGGTGTTTTAGGTATATTAAAATAAACATAATGACGGATGGATTATTTTTTTATTTTACTTTTTAGGTACATACGTGGGTGGCTTGACCCATTTACTAAAGTGTCAAATAGGTAATAGTAACAATAATTTTCTTTTCCGGAAGAATAGCAAAAACAGCAGCTACTGTTTGGTACTGATTAGGCGCATCGGTCATGAAATTTAAATAAAGGTAATCATCATACAATCACGTACCTCCTTACTTATTTATATGGCTTAACGCAATACTGACTGTAGGAAGTATGTACTTATTCCATGGTGTTACATGCATATAAGTAATAGTGCATCAAGGTGGATACGACGAGTGGCTCTTTTGTATTTTTCTTTTACCAACAAACAAACAAAACAGTCGCAAGTGAAATACTAACGATTTTCCGCTGCGCTCTTTTTTCACTCATTTCCTTTGTAACTTTTACATAATTCGATCACTCACTTGCTTAATAAGTAGTACTTCTGGCACTGTTTATGCATATGTATACTTACGGATGGCATAACAATGATTACTGCACATTGTCTAGACCTATTAATACGACATTATATTCAAGAAGTGACGTGGACATTGCATTTGTGGACAAATGTTGAATATTTATGGAGCATAAAAAATTGTTTTTGAATCCTATTAAATATGTAATCCAGCCAGTAGCGCATCGGGGTGGTTTCAATATTAGTGGGCAAAATTGTGTATTTTCTAAACTAATCGAAACATCGCTCCTTTAGTATTTTTAAATTCAATAGCCATGAGCTACCCGACTGGAAATTAGTTCAAAGAACCCGGATTATGATCAGATGCGGATCGGATTCTTCGTAATACGGGCATCTGATCAG